TCATTGTGTATTTAATTCGAATCATTGTGTATTTAACTCAAATTTTGCTACAGTAGGCTCTGTTCTTAACTATGGGTCGTCCTTAAATTGGGTGTTCTTAACTCGGGGATCACCTGTACTCCAACATTGGATTTGTATTAACATATACATTCTAAAGCTATGTGAGCAAAGCCACCCTAGTTAAAGGGGGAACCAGGAGCCATTTGTTTAAATATTTTGACCTGGCAAACAGAGGGTTTCCTGTTTTCCCCCATCCAGATTCCAGGGAAACATGGGAAAAGAAAGGGCATCTCTCTGCTCCTTTTTAACATGAAACCACTGTAAGAGATCATCCATTGGCACGGGCTCAGGTTTCACTAGTGCCCTGATGTTAGCCAATTTTATATCTTCACTCCTGGCTGAAGAAGGGATGCTGTCAGAAAGTGTTGTCCAGGTGCCAAAACCAACCAGCTGCTTGGTTTTGAATTGGAAAGAAGAGATTGAGACTCAATCCTAGCAAAGTAGAGTGGCTTTGAGTTTGAAGGTCTGATGATTCCAGTCAGACTCCATAGTTAAGTCAGAATGGAATTGCACTCTCCTGAACAGGGTAAGCTCACAATTTGGGGTCTATTTATAGTGCCTGTCCAAGGGGCATATGGCAGCTTTAGCCAAGAGGGCATTAGCACTGCTTCATTTTGTGTGCTGTGATCTTTCCTGGAATGGAAGGCATTGCTCACTGTCACTCACACCTTAGTCACCTCTCAAGGGGACGATCACAACATGCACTACATGGAACTATCCTTGAAGCATTTGGGAGCTATAGCTCTTCCAGAAATGGTATCTTGAGTAGTTATGGGCATACATTGAAGCAACACTTCCACTTGGAGAGCTGTGCTCAGTGTAATTCAAGATGTGGTTGCGACATTTAAAGGTCTTCATAGTTCAGGGCCTGGGTATCTGCAAGACCTCCTTTGTCCAGTAACTTCTACTTGCCCAGTAAGATCTAGTGGGCAGGCTCTTTAGCTGTCCCCTAGATCAGAGACTATCACCTGCAGAGGCCAGGAAAACGTACTTTTGCTGCCCCCTCCCTTGGAATAGTACCCCCCAGACATTCAAATGGCCTCTTGTGTTCTGATCTTCAGGAAGTTGTTAAATAACTTGCTATTCTATCAGGATTTGGGGGCAGGCTATTTTAATTGTCCTGTGGATGAGTGACCATTTTAATTGTGTTTTTTTCAGAATGTTTGACTACAAGGGTACATAATGGTTTATATTGCATGTTTTGGATTTACTTTTTACTGTTATGTATTTTTAACCCAAATTACAATTAGAGTAGTGGTATGCTGCTCAGAGTTGGTTAATTGAAGCACCCTATACTTCAGGTGCTGCAAACCAGTCAAGCAATCAGTCAATCTCCCTACTCAGGAACAGGTGGTGATTGTTTTACCACCTGCTCCATGTGAAATGCTTTTCACCTGAGAGGACGGTTACTCCCAGACACCCTGGAACTCATATAAAGGGAGAGGCAGGCCTAGTGGAAAGGGGAAAAGTGGTTTTGGAAAACTTGAGGGGTGGAGATCGTACATGTTGTGTTTACAATTTAAAGCAGGGATGTATAATTGTACTTTCCAGAAGTTGTATTATGCTCTCCTCAGCATTGGCTGTGCTAGTCAAGGCTGGTGCTCAACCTCCAGAGAACAGTTTCTTGGCCCTAATTGGTTTGGAATATTATTTTCCAACTGCCAGAGCTGGATCATCTGGAAGACATTTTTTTTTAAAAAAAAAAGGATGTTGCAAAGTATTCATATTTTTTCAGCAATATCAGCTTTTCCCAAAGCCAATCTGGGAGCTGTAGTCTCAATACATCTGGAGGACACCAGGTTGGGCAATATTGATCAGTAGGAGAGAAGGAAGATGTGATGCCATTGTTTCATTCTAAAAAAAACTTAAAAGATACTAATATATGTATCTATTTTTAAATTTCAGATTAACTCTTCTTATCCAATTAAAGAACCTTCTGGGAAGAGTTGACAAGGTATGGTATAATGTCATAAGATTTGATTGATTGATTATGTGCCATCAAGTACTAATGCATAAAAGCAGGTGTAAGGCTGCATCACTTTATCTTGGAAGGAGCAAAGGAACTCCATGATCATGTTCCTGAGTGTTCCCAGGTTAAACATGGAAAATATTTGCTCTGCTAGCATTTCCTCCTGTTTTACTCACTTAAGATCTGACTCACTAGATGAAGTCAGGCTTTAGCTGAGAGATTTCAGAAGCATATAATCACTTTGCCAATTTGGTTTTCCTGTTGGTGGCTATATGCTGTCACCTTTAGGAATAATCAGGGCTTCTTAATCATCCTTGTTTGAGATATGATCTGTTAGGAATGTTTTCTAAGCAAGTCCTGCTGGAATTAATGGAATTATATGAACCACTATTTCAGTACAGGTCATTTCATTATTGTGCAGTTTAGCAAGTGAAATCTCTACTGTGGAATGTTTCGAAAATTGTAGCCATGTAGATACTGTAAATCTGATCTCATGCCACTTCAGGTGTAGAATTGGGGTGACTGATCTCTTCTTAGAACAAGACAGGATGGCAGACAACTTTAGAAATGTTAATGCTCATATACACGCTGTGATTAGTTACTATTTTGTAAATGTTTCCTTGTCACAATGTGCCTGTGAATAAATCCAAACTTAAAAGAAACAAAAAATAAGGCTTATTTTTTATGTTTGCTTACTTGCTCTACTTATTTAAGATTCATACCATTCTATCAAATGGAGAATTTTCAGAGCCCTACATTCATCCAAGCTATATTTATCTCCCGACAGCATGGGAGGGAGGAGATATAATACCATCATTGAGATAAATATCTGGTAATATGTGAAAGGACAAAAGAAGAAAAAGCTGTGAATTCTTTTCTTTAGCAGCACTCTGTCTTTTCTACTTGCTCTGTGATGTTTGTCATCTGCCTGAATGACAGAGCAGTATTACAAAAAACCTGATTTGCACAGAATAGGCAGGATTGTGAAGAAGGCTAAGAAACTGAAGGAAAGCCTGTTGCAAGATCTTCTGTTATCATTTTGTCTGCTTAGTGCCTATATTTCAAAGCCTTGAAAATGTAGCAACCCCTTTGCTTCCTGATAATGAAGTCACCTGGTTTCCTCTCCCTTCCCTCTGTGAGTTCTCCTAGCTGCATTCCTACACAATGGGTGACATTTCATTTTGAAATAAATCAAGCTCTTCCTCCAAAGCCTGAATAATCCTCCCCTTCCTGTATTATTCAGCACATATGGGAAGCTGCAGGAACACCAGGCTGCGTTTCTGGCTGCTAGCCACACCAGGGATTTCATCTTCTCAGTAATTAGTGAAACAGTGACATCCCTGAAAGAAATTTAGAAATATATTTGGGCTGAGGTGTCCAGCCTGCTCAGTTCTTCTCTGAGAGAACCCCTGAAAGAGCTGAATGTTGCATGGAGGGCTTTTATTCAGGCCTGTTTTGTGGAAATATTGAAAGCGCCTTGGCACAATTCCCTTGTTTTTCTCATATACAATAACTTTGTTTTTCAATCTTTTTCTCCCTAGGGAATAAAATATGTCCTTCAGAAAACTTCAGCAAATGGCTCTTTTTATGGGTGTTCAGTGCATTGCGGGAGGTGCTTTTACATATTGCTACGTACAGAGTAAGTTCCATTATAGTTAGCAATTTGAACTTGATCTACAAAGGGAGTGTCTGAATATTAACTTGGTAAAGTGAACTGCACCTCTTAGACTATAAGTACAGGGTCCCTATTTATCATTTTCCCATGCTCAAAACTTTTTACAAACAGAAATCCAGCATAGTGGGCCAAGAATTGGACTAATATTTCCTCTCTGAAGTGCTTTAGATGGAGAGATTTTAAAAGTAATATCCCCACCTATTCTTGTGTGGACTGGCCAAATATTGTGTTCCTCTACTTAGAATCCTCCTTTATACTGTCCAGCTAAAACCATTGCTGATTCTGTTAATAGATGGAGGACCTTGACTCTCAAGCATTTTTGAAGCATTTCATTTATAAATCCTGCTTCTGTTAACCTAAGGAAGACATACTGGTATTTACAAGTCCAAAATTTGCCTTGAATATGGGCCTGATTGACAGTGCTAGAGCCTTTAAATAAAATATTAAAAATAAGGTATACATTTTCCCCCATAAGGTATGCAAGTCACAAATGAGTGCATTGGCATAGAACTTTTAATGTTTCAAATTCAGAGTTTAGAAGGTTTACACTTTGTGGTCAGTATCTTTTTGAAAATCTATTTCATTTAATTTTGATTTTGTAAAATCCCAGCTCAACTTGTTTGTGATAAATTTTCAACAATAAAATATATATAAATAAATAACTTCAGCTGATAATGGGTTTTTTAAACCTTATTTTTAAAATACAGAAACTGCCTAGATAGCTTAACATTTTATTTATCAAAATGGTTTCCAGAAGAGTAACTGTATTAGTCTTTTGCTGCAAAAATAATCTTCTATTCATCATGCAACCTTGTGCAATAAGAGTGTGTGAGGCTTTAAGATGCAACAAGACTCTTTGTTGTTCTGCCAAAACAGTTGTATAAATGTAGACTTTACCATGATGCTCTGCTTTCAAACAGAGAAGGATACAGACTGTCCGTTTGCTGAGAAATTGCACTAATGAATAGAGAACTCTAAAGCAGAGAGCAGCTCAGGATACTCTTGATAGAAAGGGCAATGAAATAGAGTGTGATTCACAGGGTGCTCTTAACCTGGGGACTCCCTGTAATCCCTACTTCAGTCAGGTCCTGCACATTTGGGATGGGTAAATAAACAACAACAAGCACACCATTTGCTCAAGGTAAAAATGTATTTTTAATATTTAAAGGAAACCTCTCTAGGATGTCTGTAAAAGGAAACAAACTCTGGGAGAGGCACAGGCCTTTTACCTTCTTGGCCTGAGCACCAATTGGATGCCTTTCTGTGTCAGATTAATATTTAACAGTGTTCCTTTTCTGATATTCTTTGCTTACCCTGGACAGTCTCCAAAATGATACATTTTTTCCCTCCCCCCCCCTTTTTTGTTCAGAGGTTTTTTCCAGAACAAAGTACTACCAGGATGCTCTTAAGCAGCTTCAAGCAGACCCCTTAGCCCTAGAAGCACTTGGCGCTCCTCCTCTGAAAGTTCACTATATCAGCCTGAGAGACAGAAGCAATCGTGTTGATAAGTCAAAAGCCCAGGTAACCAGCAGATGGATTAAGGACTGATGGCAAAGTAGGGAAACAGAAGAGAGGGGATCATGGCAAACCACAAAAGAGAGTTTCAGCTTGACTAGGTTTAGTAGGATGTGTTAAGGTCAATACTGAAAATGATATTATGCCGAGTAGGAGGCCAGGATTCCTGAAGGCTCGGAATTATTACTGAACTATTATTCAATAGTTCAAAATAGTAGTAGTAGTAATGATGATGATGATGATGAGTCGAAAAATCAACTGTCATACTGATTTTAAAAGATGCTTTTGGTGTAATACCAAATGAATTCACCAAATCACATGACTGTGACTTACAATTTTACTTCTGAGTTCTCCATTAATTCTGCTTGTTGCAAGCTGGTTGGGAAGCACACAAATGGTGATCATGTGACTATGGGATGCTGTGACAGTTGTAAATGTGAAGATTGGTTACAAAGCTTTTTTTTTTTTAATACCACTATAACTTCAAACAGTCTCTAAATGTGGCAGTCAGTAAGCGAGGACTACCTGTAGTAAGATAACCTTCATAGATCTTGAAAATAGTGCAAGTGGACTTGAGCTAATGGTTTCATTCTCTGTATGAGGCTAATCTGAGTTCAACTGAAATTTTAAACTTATTGGGTTGATATCCCTAAAGTAACAGAAGTTTACCTTACTTGACACAGCATAGATTTTATGGCAGTACTTCCATGACTTTGGCTAGGACCTGAATCAGTGGATTCAACACCCAGTTGATTAGATTGTGATATTCATTCGGATGGAAAATTAACAACAACAACAACACTAATAATAGCAAATTAAATGTACATTAAATCACTTGGCAATTGTAGCAAAATGAAAAAAAAAATTCAACATAACTTGCCCATCTAACAAGCAAGATTTTAGCATGCAACTGAACTGGAAGTGCAGCAGTGCTGAGAATTACCACTTAGTAGTAGAATATATGCTCTGCATTTAGAAGATCCTGATCTATGTATCTCCAGTTTTAAAAAAATCTCATAGCAAGATATCCTTCTTAGACCTCAGAAATTACGCGAATAGACTTGAGCCAGTAGTTTCATTCTATATGAGACTAATCTGGCTTCAACTGAAATGGATGGAAATTTGTAAATGGGAGGAACATCTCTATCTACGTCCCTAGATGTCCATGTAACAAATTAGATGCTGACTTTACTAGATCAGAATTCAAGAATGAGGACTTGTAATCCTCCAAATGTTTCAGAACTCTCTATTGGCCATGCTAATTATGGCTGTTAGAAGTTTGACAACATCTGGAAGAAGCCAAGATTCTCACCCTTGATCTGAAAAACCTAAGAAGCTGCATACAGCTTTTGTGGATTTGGAAGGCTTCACTGCAGTCATGAGAAGTGCTTCATTTTGAGATTGTTTATTATAGTGAACAAGTGGGAAATGATATAAATAAATAATAACATCTCTCATGAAGTCTGTAGTTCAGCCTGATAAGGAATTAGTGTGTGGTCAGAACTCAATGTGTGGAAGTATAAAGAGTTGCCTGGGTGTTAGTCAAATTGATTGAAGTATAACTTAGACTTTTCAGATACTGATGTTGCCTAGTTGGGTAATGAAACATCTGCAAGCAAATAACCAAGCTCAGAGAGCATCAAGGACTCCAGTTCTCAGACACTAGATTTTAAATCTACAATAAGAATGTTACCTGGAAAAGGAATCACATCAACAAAAGTTTACCAAAAGGATTTGCATTTGTATTTGTAGATAAAAATACCAGTATCTGGAAGAAAGTCAGGTGGTTATCTTCATGTCATTTCAGAAATGGATTTTTCCCTCAACAGGTATGTTTTAAAAGACAGTGTTTTAAAAATTATTGGATCTTTGAACATACTGTGTATGTTAGTTATTCTACATAAAATAGTTTACTATATTTAATAGCTCTAGGTGAGATCTTGTAGTTTGATTATACCTTACAAAATGGGTAATAAAACTGATGGAGTACAGAACTGCGTGTAACTTGCAATCTGTTTCAACATGAATCAGTATGAAATGCTGGTGTAAATAGACATGCTGTTAATTGGGTTGCTAATATAGATTGCCAAAAACCATTTTTGTTCAGTAGTTGTGCTGCATAAATTGGCCTAGGTTCTCACTGATTTGCATCTAGAGTGTATAGTTTCCTCACCTAGTGGGTATGTACACATTGGAAGCCAGATGGGGCAATACAAAAGTAAGTTAGTAATTTCTAAGAAACACCTTGGTTCACTATGAATATCAACAATTTAAAGCTTTTGCAGTAACACAAATAAATTGTTTATGCTTAATAGTATCAAGTCCTTAAAAAACATGATGATGTATTGGAAGGACTCCAGCAGTGAACCTATTCTGGGTTAAAATCTTAATTATTGCATTTCTACAATGTTCAACAATACCATTTCTAACATATTTTCATGTTAGCTGGAATCTACAGGAAGTCACACTGCAGCTCTGCAACGGCCCCAGAATTCTAGTGTATGCTTCTTCTATGAAGACGGTTTCTGGATAAAAGGTGTAATATACAGAACTGAGCTGTTTGTATTACTATTTAAATATCCTGAAATTCAATAAACATTCTAATGCACATCCAGAACATATGAGCATATATTTATTATTTCAGTTTCAAGGCTGCCTGACTCCACAACTATTCTGGGTGGCTTACAATTAAAAACGAAATAAATGTAAAATAAAACAACATGTATTAGGGAAAAAGAATGCAGCTGACTAGAAGACAACCAAAAAACCATAAGGGGTCGACCATCATTCTAGCTCAAGGTCTGGAAAAACCACCACGTATTTAACAACTGCAGAAAGTCAAAAGGGTGGGAGCAGTACGGGCTATTCTGGGTCTTTACCATTCCATTGGGCAGGAGCCATCATTGAGAAGGCATGCTTCCTGGGTGCCACAAGGGGACACTGCTTAATTGACCCTTTTGGATTTAGAGTAAAGCAGAGGAAGGGTGATAAGAGGCATATCTAGATTTTAATTGGCTTGAATTTTTGTATCCTGCCTGGTTTTAAAATAATGTACATGTTGTTGTTCAGTCGTTAAGTCGTGTCCGACTCTTTGTGACCCCATGAACCAT